TCCACCATCCCAGGAAAAAATCCAAATCCCTAGTCTGGCTTATAACCCTGCATGGCCTGGCCCCTGCTAACGCTCTACCCCAACTGTGGATCAGTCCAACTCAAGTTGAGGCTACAGAAGAAAACTATACCACAGTGGTTCTTCTATAAACTCCTGCATGCTCTACTTCTTGAGTACCTTTTTAGGCTCTTCACCAACCATTCATCCTACTTTCTGTTCTATTTGAAATTGTTTCAATGTTCAGTGGTCCCTCTTGGAATCAACTTTGGCCCATGCTGCTCCCAAAGCCTGGAATGCCCTTCACTTCTCCTAATTATGCCTAGCTTAAATGAACCCTGCTTTAGGAAGTGCTTCTTGATATTCCCCACCGTATAATACATATCCCACTTTTGTCAACAAGAGTGAGTATACATCCTCACTTTGTGCTCCATGATGCCCTGTGGTCCTGTGAGAGCAGGAACAATAAAATGGCATTGGCCCAATCAAGATAGCATAAAGTATATAAAACAATGTGGAGTCATTTGTCAACCAAGATGGCTGCCAGTCAGCCATAACACTTTAGTTCAAGAGGGAAACTACCTAAGTGATGCTAGACACATCTGACAAGGAGACACACCTAAGACATTTGCACTTGCAATCAGAGAGTCATGTCTGCAGAGGGGGACCACCCACAGATAGGCTCCTGGGGAAATTCCACACTTGGCATCAGGGGCACCAAGACACTTAGCAAGAGACCCAGAAGGGTGGAGTACACCACTTTCAAGGTATAACTGAGGCAGGCTCCAGACCACTGCTGAGACAGCCGAGCTCCACACACCAGAGTGCTGCTTCACACCATGCTGATCTTCCCTGACATCAGCCGCCGGACGCTCTGTCCTGCTGGACTGAGGACATCCAAGACCCTTCCTTGCAAGACTCTGACAACTCCCTTGCCCACCGTGCTGTCTCCTGGACCTGCAGACTGAGACTCTGGGACTCAGGTTCATTATTCCCCACTGATTGCAGGGTGTGTGTTGTATTCCTCTTAGATTGTTAGGGTGTGAGTAGGATGTTAATGTATGTTGATGTTGTACTTTGGGTGAACCTGCATTCAGTAAAAGCTGAGTGAATAGCATAGTTACTGTGTGTGACTCTTGTCTATTCCTTGGTGTCGAGCTGCTCAGTAGGCAGCAAACTGAGCATTTGCCAGGCTGACTTATAGGAAAGACTATATGACGAGCATACACTTGTAACAGCTCCCCTCTACATTCTGTGCTTCAATGGCCTGGCTCCTTGTCTAAGCTATGGTCCTGTACACTATTATATCCAAAAAGCCTAGAATAAAGCCTGTCACAAACTAGAAGCTGAAACATATTTTTAGAAGAAGGGAGGAAGCAAGAAAGGTCTTGACAACATGCAAACTGATGTCTGATGGACTCACATGGACATCACTGCCTATATAGTGAGTCACAGATGACATGACAATGAGATTGACTTGGTTATCTCAGTTCTTTAGGAAGATTACAAAATGACAGGCTGTCCTCACAATGAGACTTAGTATTTTGTACTGTCAGAGCAGGTGGCAGGTTCATTTACCATCACAGATTTCTAGATGCTGATATTACATAAAATCATGAAGAGCATCAACAGCAAAAATGTTTTTGGTAAAATCTTTGTATAAAATGTTTGAGAGTCACTGTATATTTTATCACTATGATTTAACTGAGGACTCAAATTATGAGGGAGACGAATATAAACTCCACTTCAGAAGCCTGATTAAAAACAATGAAATAAGATTCCACCAGACCATTTGAGAAAAAAACTTTATTCACTGAGAGAATAAAATAAAAGGGAGTCTTCCATTTTCCTCTACAAAAGAATTACCTAAATAAGAACTGAATAAAATCTTCTGAACTCAGTAATATCAGAAATAAAAGTTGGCTTGAAGCAAAGACTCAAGACTATAAAGAAAGTAAGTTGAAAACCCCTTATTTTATAATACAAACTCTTATGAGAATAAAACCTGAAATTTTCTCAAGCCATATTAACTAACTCACCAGAAGCATGACAGAATTCCATGTATCATTAACAAACAAAACTCAGCCCAATTTTCATGAATGACAGGAGTTAATATATGGGGTCTGATTTAAAATATTTCAGCAAAACAATAATAGCAAAAAAGGAAATAGATTATATGTGGTATATCTTCATAAATGTTAAATCAGTATAACAGCTACCTAGGGGTTTCTTATATTAAACTCTATCGTTTAAAATTTTCCTGAATAAGTATTAAAGGTCTGCTTATATTATGAATATTAGAAATCCAATCTCATATGCAAATTTAATAAAAACATTTCAAAACCCACATATTTTAGGTATTACTTGTTATTAAAAAATACAGATTAATTTGGATAACACCTTTAAGTTTTTATAATGAGCTTTATTTTTAGGTTAAGTGAACACTGAGCAATCCAATGGGTCATTTCCAACCTAAATTGAATAATAAATTGAGATTTTAAATCTACAACATAAACTTTGGGCTAAGCAGGAAATTTGCAAGTATGTTTTTTTACAATGGCCATCAAAACTAAACAAGCAAATGACTGCAGGCAAGATAGTGTAATTGTTTTTTTTAATATATTTTATTGATTATGCTATTACAGTTGTCCCATTACCACCCTTTCATTCCCCTCCACCCTGCACACCCTCTCCCACCCACATTCCCTCCTTTAGTCCATGTCCATATGTCATAAGTTCTTTGGCTTCTACATTTCCCAGACTATTCTTGCCCTCCCCCTATTTTCTACCTACCATCTACACTATTTATTCTACGTACCTTTCCCCCTTCTCTCCTTCTCCCACTCCCTGTTGCTAACCCTCCATGTGATCTCCATTTCTGTGGTTCTGTTCCTGTTCTGGTTGTTTGCTTAGTTTGCTTTGGTTTTTGTTTTAGGTGTGGTTGTCAATAATTGTGAGTTTGCTGTCATTTTACTATACATGTTTTTTATGTTCTTTTTCTTATATAAGTCCCTTTAACATTTAATATAATAAGGGCTTGGTGATGATGAACTCCTTTAACATGACCTTATCAGAGAAGCGCTTTATCTGCCCTTCCATTCTAAATGAAAACTTTGCTGGATAGAGCAATCTGGGATGTAGGTCCTTGCCTTTCCTGACTTGGAATACTTCCTTCCAGCCCCTTCTTGCCTGCAAGGTCCCTTTTGAGAAACCAGCTGACAGTCTTGTGGGAACTCCTTTGTAGGTTACTGTCTCCTTATCTCTTCCTGCTACTAGGATTCTCTCCTTCATTTTTACCTTGGCTAATGTAATTGTGATGTGCCTTGGTGTGTTCTTCCTTGGTTCCAACTTCTTTGGAACTCTCTGAGCTTCCTGGACTTCCTGGAAGTCTATTTCCTTTGCCAGATAGGGGAAGTTCTCCTTTATTATTTGTTCAAGTAAGTTTTCCACTTGTTGCCCTTCCTCTTCTCCTTCTGGTACTCCTATAATTTGAATGTTGGAACATTTGAAGATGTCCTGGAGGTTCCTAAGCCTCTCCTCGTTTTTTTTGAATTCTTGTTTCTTCATTCTTTTCTGATTGTATGTTTTTTCTTCCTTCTGGTCTACTCCACTGATTTGAAACCCAGTTTTCTTTCCATCACTATTGGTTCCCTGTGCATTTTTCATCATTTCACTTAGTGTAGCCTTCATTTGTTCATCTAATTTGTGACCAAAATCAGCCAATTCTGTGAGCATCCTGATCAACAGTGCTTTGAACTGTGCATCTGATAGATTGTCTATCTCTTGGTTACTTAGTTGTATTTGCTGTGGAGCTTTGATCTGTTCTTCTGTTTGGGTCACTTTTTTTTTTGTCTTGTCACTCCTGTTACATATGGGGGGCAGAGCCTTAGATGTTCACCAGGGCAGAGCAACCCAGTTGCTGGGTTGTGACACTGTATGTGGGGAAGGGATTCAAGAGGGAACAGTGGCACTTGCTCAGCTCTGTGCCGGACTTCAGTCCCTTCCGCCACTTCCCCCAAGCAAACTGGGCCTTTCTGGTGCTAATTCCCATGTGGGTGGGCTTGTGCACGTTCTAGGACCCTGTGGGTCTCTCCAATGAACTTTCCTGTGAGGCTGGAAGTCTCTTCCTGGGCCACAACCCCCAGAGGTGTTTTCAATCAGTGTCCTGAGGCTCTATTTCCCAGCACTAGGATCCTGGGTTGCTTGCAGTGCCTGGCTTCACAATCACCACCTTGCTGGGTCTGCCAGTTGCCACCCCACAGCCGGGGTCTGCCAGCCGCCACTTGCGTGCCCGGGGTCCGCCTGCTGCAGTCTTGAGCGCCCAGGATGCCTTATGCACCCGGTCTCACTGCTCTTTGTGCCTCGATCCCTCTCCACCCGGCTGCCCGACTCTGCCCCTCCTACCAGTCTGGATGAACGTGCCTATTTCAACTATTGGTTGTCTGACTTCCATATAGCTCAATTTTCTGTCAGTTCTGGTTGTTATTTTGTTTCCAAATTGTTGTTGTCCCTATCTTGGCTGTTCGAGGAGGCACAGTGTGTCTACCTACACCTGAATCTTGGCCAAAAGTAGGAGGTAGTGTAATTGTTAAAAAAGAAATTCAACAATGTTTCAGAGAATTGTAATTCAACATAAAAGTCTGAGCCAACAAATCTATCAACAAAACCCAACAGCTCCCCAGATTCCTTTGCAATGCTGATTATGCCAAGATGCACAGCTCCAAACTTTGAAAGGAGTGAGAGTTTCTAGGGGTGTGCAGAGGAGACCAACCTCCAGACTGCATTACAATAAGCAATGCCTTGCATTTACTTACAGAGCAGCTCTCTGTTACTTCCTGAGAATGCTGAAGAAGAGAGCTGAGAGACCAGGTCAAAACAATGCAAGAGAAAAACACAGCAGCATTGAAAATTAATACAATTAAACATTTGTGTTTCACTATCATGTCTAAGACTACAAAAGTCTTAGAGGTCAAGGAGAGGGTTCATATTAGAAACTGTCTCACCTGCAAAAGAACTCCCACAAGTCTAGGTTTTGAATTCTCTGAATTCTTTTAATTCTGTTGCGATCCATTGTTTTCCCAAAGAGGCTAGCAACTTCATTATATTCGTGTGTTTGATTGTGCAAAGGAATAAGCTGGAAAATGAAGTTTGATAGTTTTATTTGAGTCCTTTTCCACCTCTAAAGCAGTACAGTCTGTCAGTTCTGGTCTTACCTGATAGGGTACGTCAGTATTCACGTTCTCCCAGTGTGGTGGCATGGGGATAGCCTCATTTTCACAGATATAACTTTAAATTGCAAAAGACAAAACAAAATGTTAGAATCTGTAAGTGATTTAGACTTTTCTTCAAAGCTGAATTTTCATGTTTGGGATAGTGCAACAAATGCAATTAAGTGTAACCCTTGGTTTCTTTATTTCAAAACATTTATTGGCTGTCTACTTGTGTACCACCTTTTAGGTACTGAATTGAGAACTTGGATGGAAAACACCCAATCCTACATAACATTAAAATTTCAAAAACAGGTGTTTAATTGTTTCATTTTTCTGAATTTTCCAGAATTTCTTTAAAATGTAAGGAAGATTTTAGGTAAAAAAAAAATTCAAGAAGAAAAAGAAAGTCCTTGATTTTAAAAAACAAACAAACATGTAAACAGATTTATTCTGCCTATTAAATAAAATCAAAACCCCTAAGCCATACATTCAATATCCTTCAAGATGGAGTCTAAACCTTTCTTTTTATTGCCCACTAGTCCCCTACAAAGTTCACACTAACTTAACTAGTATAGTCAATCAGTAAAACATTTTTAAAAACCTTCTCTTATGGTTAAGCCACCGGATGTGAACACAAAAAAGCAGAGTGGCCCTGGAGAGCTCAATGGCAAAAGGCTAACATTGACATATTCTCCTCTCTGGTGACTAGAGGTCACTGGAAGAAATGATAAATTTCAAGCTTATCTTTAAATTTTAAGAATTCATTTCAACTTTGTAAAGATCACGCAATCATATGATTTAAGAATTAGTAAGCATTTTTCAAAGTACGCAGTGAATAGCTTCCCTGCCACTTCAGTGGTCTCCATCCAATTCTCACCTCTCGCCTCAGCTCCAATAATCACTGTTTTAGGTTTCTTGAGTATTCTTCCCAAACTTCTTTCTGTTAACACAAGCCAATTTTTCCCCACACACAAATGGGAGCATAAAACATGTCTTTCGCAGCTTTTATTTTTCACTTACTACATTCTTAAAGATCTTTCCGCGTCAGTAGCTAGAGCATACCCTTATTCCCAGTCCCTGCCATAGAGCTTGGCACACAGTAGACACTCCATAAATACTGACTGAATGAATGAGGGCATTCTATTCCACAAACACATAGAATTCCATGATATGGAGACACCGTCATTTTTTAACAAGTCCCTTACTGAAAATATTCGGGTTTTTCAACTTTTTGTTACTGTTAAGAATGCTGCAAGGAACTGGTTTATCCATTTGTCACTGTATGTGTCTACTAGTCAATCTGTAGGATAACATCTTTGAAATGGAATTTCTCAGTCATAGAATATATTTATTATTTTGACAGATACCAACCAAATGCCTTCCTTCAAGGTTGTACTCATTGAATTCCCACCATAAATACAGAGAATGCCTATCTTCCAACCTCACCAAAAAGGTGTGTTATCAAACTTTTGAATTTTTGTCAATCTGATAGTAAAAAATAGTCTGATATAATTTGTATTTCTCTTGAGTGAGGCTGTATGAACTGCTCAAATTCTTTGCTGATTTTTCTAAGGGGCTGTTGGTCTTCTACGTAGAGATTCATAGAAGTATTTCACATGCTGTAGAGATGAGTCTTTTGATTGTGATCATGAGTAACAATAGTATACTCAGATTTTTAAAAAATGTTGCCTAAAGTATCTTTTAGCTATGGAAAAGGTTTTTTGTTTTTAAATTTTTGTAGCCCATAGCCTTAGTTAACTGTTAATTCATTGCCAATGAGAAATTTGTATGATTCCCCTTACATGTAATTAATTCCTACAATAAGTAATACATTTAATAAATATATGCACATATGAATAAATGAATATATGTGTACATTCATATTATATATTCCTGCAATAAATAAATAAACATTTTTATATCAGCAAATACTTATCTTCATCACTCTTCCGTATTCCACCTAACTACTCTTCCTCTTTTACTATCGAGCTTATTATCCTCCATTCTGGTTCAGTCTTTCCCTCTCCCACCTTTGTTTTATGGTTTGCACAGTGTGTGAGAGAACAAAGACTATGCTTCTTCTCCCCACCAAACTATACCAGATATAATAACATGCCTTTACAATAATATTTTCCATTATTATGTCTCATTTTTCTCCCAGATTACATACTCTTTGAAGTAATTCCTTTACCATATATATTCCTTGTACTTGAGAAGGAGGATATGATATAGTTGTATAGAAATAATATTCTCTATGTTCCATAGAAATACTAGAGCATTCATTACATAAGTACTTAAATAATTTTTATGTCAGGATGCTAAAATATAAACCAAAAGTCTCATGAAACAAACTAATAGAAACTTACAGTTTTTCATTTCTTAATCTAATTCTTTCAAAATATCTTTTTGGAATGAGCAAGGGGTATCTCTTAAAATTCACATGTTAGCAGTTTTTTTTCTTTTTCATTTTCAATTCTTTGAACAGCAAGAATTTTAAAACTTGCTGGAAGAATCATTCCGGAAAATAGTAGACACAGTGTAAGATATTTCCCTTTCAATTCCATTCAAAGTAATACAAAATACTTATTTTCTTCTGGCATTTATACCACTTTTCAGGCCAAATAAATCCAGAAATAGAAAAAAGGAAAACTTGTAACAGGGAACAAGTAGCAATACTGCTGTCCCACTGCACTCCCATCCCCTGTGGGTCTCCTTTAGTCACTATAAACTTGAACTACCTCTAGGAGTTGCCCAGTGGGAATCAGAAGAGGTGGAGAAGACTGGTAATTATTTAGGATTTACGGCCCAAATAACTGGATGGTTCTGTGACAGTATTTCCAAGTTAATTCAAAATTACCTCAGTAGGTTATTTTAAGGATGCAAAGCACAGACTATAAGGTGTTTTTTAACTACCATGCAAACTGTTCTAAAGAATTGAAAAATATAAGCATATAGAGGGAAATTAAAAGGCTAATAGGAAAGCCAACATGGGCAGAAAATAATTATATTGCGATTTCATCAAGTATGATGATTCAGTAATGAAGGGATCAATATTAAGATCATTAAATAACTTACCAAAATATTTTCAGTCTAACTGTTTCTATGTCAAATATTAAGAAAGAAAAAGAAAAAGCCCATCCTTTCTACCCCTGTGCTCTTTACGGTACCTGAAAGCACTGATAGAAAAGGGGGCTCTTTTTATTAAGCGCTGTTTCCCAGTGGTGAGGTTCATTTGCTTCATTTCTGCATACAAAGACAGAGATGTTGGGTGAGTCATAGAAACATACTGTGCTACAAATTGTCACAAAGATTTATAGCTGCTCTACTTGATAATCAGGAATCACAGAGCTTTGGGGGTAGCTGACAAACACAGCACATTAAAGATACTTTACTACCTACGTATCTAGCATGTCATAAAAGTACAATTCAGGGAGGACAGCTTCATTGCTTGATCTACGTTCACACAAAAGAATGCTATCTCAAGTGCTGCTCAGTATGCAGGGTCTATTTTTTTCTAACATTAAATAAAAGAGTTCTACACTTAGAAAAATTAAGAGTACCAGAAGGAGAAAAGAATGATAGTACTGAATATTCTAGTTGGCTTAAGAGGAAAATATAGGTTGATTTCTCCAAAAATTTTGGAAATGATTAAAAAATACATTACCATTATAAAATTGGCACTACTCACAGAATTTCAAAAATTTGTACATTTCTTGCCTTCTCTTTAAATTGTATACCTAAACCAAAGCACAGAAAACCTAGCTAGACTCAATACATACTTACATAAGAGATTCTAATGCTAAAGGACTAATTACCTAAAGGAATCATTTTCTTCTTTTGTCCATGCCTCAGCAGTGGCAGTATTTACCAGGACCATTTCTTCATTCCCACAAGGTTGAATACAAAGTCTTAATGCAAGTCTCTAGTCAGTTTATTACATTAATTGGCATTATTCTATTCCAAAAAAAAAGGGATTCAACCACCTAGGCAAATGCGGTATAAAGTATGCTCTGCCCTTTCTGTATTCTCCTGGACTCTGTACACACTGGCATTAACCAATGTGCAGGGAAAAGCAAGATCTAAGCACACAAACCAAAACCTGTGGTGTCTTCCATGCTGCATCATTTTGAGTTTGCTTTTCACCATTTTTATAGCGAGAACCTGAATTGGCTTGTGGCAGAATGGTTGGGGCTAATTTTGCAAATAGGACATATGAAATGCTAATACTCAGACTTTTGAAACGATCATTATATAGAGGATTGGGGAACTTGAGTTATTACATGTGACTCTTACTTGATTAAAATAGTTTTAATAAACAGGGCCGAGAGAAAGCTCCCCCAAAATACAGTTTATTAGAAACTACTTATTCAGAAACATGTAGCTTGCAGAATTATCTACCACATGCTTTGATAAACTTCATCCTCTGTAGGAGTGATGTCTGTGCATATCAGTATGTCTTAGTATTGCTTCAAAGCTGGCCCTTGTACACAGGACTAAAATGCCTATCAGACACCTTCTGTCTAGACTGTAGGAGAAAGACAAATGTCAGGGCCCCCTTAAAAGCAGGCAGCTTGTTTGTCTAATGCCATTAAACAAATGCCATCGTTAGTCAGGAATAAGAATCTAATGGTTTTAACTCTAGATTTAAAAGAAAAAAAACTTTGGGGGGATAGTAATCATTACGGATTCTGTTGCATCAATCTCTCGCTGGACAAACCCCCTTCACTATTTCTGGGCCTTAGCTCATCTGAGGAAATTTCCTAAGGTTTCCCCACCCTATCCTATAACGACATGCTACTAACTGTCATAAAGACACTATTTACAGAAACTGGGAAGAACAGTTAAGAGGACTGAGCTGTGTAGCAACCAAAGTACACTTTTCTTAAGAAACCTTCCCCAACCAGGTTGTGTTTGCTTCAAAGTAACAAACAGCTGGGACTATAGCAGCTTCAAATGAGGGGGCTGAATACAATAGTTTTTCATGGGATACCCCAAATCATGCCCATATACAATCCAATGAATACAATCCAAAGTGCAGCTGAGTTCCAGATTAGCTGGCTAATCTGTGAAAAAGCCAGTGAAATCAGAAAATGGCAGAAGGCTATGGCCATTAAAGAAAGTTTCTGGCAAAGGTACAAAGAGGTAGGTCATTCTTCTGAATTCTGATCTTAAAAAACTATCACCAACTTTGTCACTTAACTGCTCAGATTGATCCTTAAAATAAAAAGGTTCCAATCTATTTCAAAAGACTGATATGATAAGGAATAAAACAATAGTTTAAAGTGTTTGTGTTGACTAGAAGAGAAACATTACATGAATATATGACCATGTCCAAATATATTAGTATCTAGAAGAAGCATATGAATACTCCTTTAGAAAAGACAATGCTGTTCAAGAAGATTTTAAATCTTGCATTTTAAAGAAGTAGTTTATGTATTTCAGAAAGGATTTATTTCACTGTTTATAAATGTCACCAACTAATCCTGATCTTCAGAACTGTAGATTTCACCATACAGTATATTAAAAACATACAACTATTAGGAAAAAAAAACATACCTGCAAAGTCTATCTTGTAGCTGAATTTGGAAGTAGTAAAAGAAATGGACCCACAAGGATTTGTTTTGAAGCTTTTTTCGATATCTTCACTGCTAACTGAACACTGAATGTTGGTATCCGGCTTTAAGACAAACCAGAAAGTTTCATTTACCAGCTGTTCACATTAATGGCTTGGCCACAGAGGTGATACTGTGGTCACAGAGACAGAGGACAGGGAAGCAAGGAAAACCTAACTAATCACCTGTTCTAGTTCCCTATACACTGGGAGAATCACAGCTAAGCCAACATGTTAAAAACAGTTCAATGATTTCCACCAAAGATACTTCAACACCTGAGTATAATGCCATTTCTGAAGTTATTACAGTTGTCAAAAATTATGATAATCATTACATGTCCTAAGTGGCTCGAAAATTAAATCTTCTTTAAGTGGCTTTGTAAGGAAAAAAAAAAGACCACAAGCTTTAATCATTAACTTAATCATTAACTAGCTGTGTGACTCTGGACAAATTACAGTAACTTTTCTGAACTTTACTTTCTTTGACCATAAGACAGAGTATCAACATCTGCTTCAAAGTTGTTATGAGGATAAAGGAAAAAACATTTGTACAACACCTAACATAATTCCTGGTGTACAGAAGGTGTTTAATATGGGCTGTTATCTTCCCTTTCTTTGTCCACCAAATCAAACTTGGAGTCGCTCAGATGTACTGATACCATGCAACTCTCAGTCACAATCGCCTTCTGTACACACAGTAAACATAGACTGTTTCTTCTAAATAAAGTATTTTAAAAACCCAGGGGAAAGAAAAGGAAAAGGACTAGAAGAATTTCTAATCTTTCCTTTTAGTTAAGCTATCTGATTTCTTTAGGGTTAGATTTCTTTCGGGTTCACTCACATTCATCTTATTGATCAGTAAGATGACACTGAGTGGATCTGAGTCCCTTCTGCTAATGTTTAAGGACAGGAAATACCTGAAACATGTGCCATTTTCCACACTCTGCCAAGTAAAACCAGCCCCATTGGGTGTCTGATGTGTCCATCTCATCCACCTCACTGTCTGTGGTTTTAGATAGGAATTCTTCTGCTTTGTGAAACATCTCCTGAAACGGTAGAAAGAGGTCAAGAAAAATATTTTTTTCCAATAATCAGTGTGCTTTTTTACACATTTTTTCTTCTTACAAAGAATTATATTCCAAGGGTTTTTCCCCCATGACACTTCAAAAGCAGCATTCTATGTTGTATATTAGTCCTGAAGATAAACAAAGATAAACATTTAAAAATGTTTATCTTCATTTTGAATTCTTCATTATCTTCAGTGTTGAATAACACTACTTACCAAATAAAACAAATAATGATACACTTAGGTAGACTATATCGATGTCCATTCAACCATTTAAGTAAGTTGTATTCAAATCTATAAGCACTCTCCAGATTCTCAGTATAGTGCCAAAAAATTTGTCTCATCATATGTTTATCCATGTTTTTGGTTAAAAGGGTCCATGCTATCACGACTATATCTGACTTAGACCAAATATATCTAATTTTTGTTTTAAACATTTCATTTAATGGCATGGAAAGATGTATATAATACATAGTGTTCAGGCCCTGGCTGGTGTGGCTCAGTGGATTGAGTGCTGGCCTGTGAACCAAAGGGTTGCAGGTTTGACTCCCAGTCAGGGCATGTGCCTGTGTTGTAGACCAGGTCCCCAGTATGGAGTATGCAAAAGGCAACCACACATTAATATTTCTCTCCCTCTCGTTCTCCCTTCCTTCCCTTCTCTCTGAAAATAAATAAATAAAATATTTAAATATATATATATATATATATATATATATAGTTTAGTACAAAGAAGGTTGTAATAAATAAAAATATAATCCAATTTTAATTAAAATTACTTCTATATTTACCCACATGAATGTATATGCATGTGTATGTATTTGTACATGTATGTTTATATGTGTACATAGAGAGAAAGTCTGGCTGGATATACCAAAATTTATTGTAGTTTTTCCTGAGTGTTAGGATAATAATTATAACCCTTATATGGCTCTTACTATGTGCCAAGTACTATTCTCAGTTAAGATAATAACTCATTTAGGCCTTACAACAACCCTGTAAGATAGGTACTATTATCCCAACTGTATAAATGAGGAAACTGAGGTACAAAGAGGAGAAAAAATCAAGAAGCCAGGATTCAAACTCAAGCACTCTAGATCCAGAATCTGTGCACTTAACCACTATGGTATATTGCCTTATACTTCATTATCAATGATTTCATAATCATTGATAGGTCTGTCCAACCATTTTCCTTAACTACAAGAAAAAAATCCAACCATGTTAATGTAGGAATGGAGTGTGCAACACTGATGTAACTTGGCAGTCAAGGAGAATGGACTGGAAAGCACATGTATGAACAATGACGACTTCACTGTACTAATCAGTGGGGGCTGTAGATGATGTTGAGTGAGCATGTGTACTGTGTGGCCATCTCATTAAAAAAAAACTGAATATTTTTGATCCACTCATTTACTGATGGACACTTAGGTTGTTTCCAACACTTGGCTATTGTAAATTGTGCTGCTATGAACACTGGTGTGCATATGGTACATTTACACAATGGAATACTACTCAGCATAAAGAAAGAAGGAGCTCCTACCCTTCACGACAAAATGGATGGATCTGGAGAGCATTATGCTAAGTGAAGTAAGCCAGGCAGTGAAAGACAAATACCATATGATCTCACCTATAAGCACTCAAGCACTCCAGACAAATACCATAAATGGAATAAAGTGGAACCTAATCAACAAAACAAATAAGCAAGCAAAGTATAACCAGAGACATTGAAATAAAGAACAAACTGACAGTAACCAGAGGGAAGGTGGGAGGTGATAATGGGGGAAAAAGGAGGAAGCGTTGTTAAGGAACATACATAAAGGACATATGGACAAAGCCAAAGGGGATTAGGATTGAGGGTGGGAGGTGGGGATGGCTAGGGTTGGGGGGAGTGGTGGGGTGAAAATAGAGACAACTGTACTTGAACAACAATAAAAAAGAGAGAAAAAAACAAAACCATTTATTAACTGAATAAATAAAATTATAAAGTCACTTTACTCAAAGTAAAACTTAAAAAAAAAAAAAAACTGGCCCTGGTTGGTGCGGCTCCATGAATTGAGCACCAGCCTGTGAACCAAAAGGCCGCTGGTTCAATTCCCAGTCAGGGTACATGCCTGGGTTGCAGGCCAGGTCCCCAGCAGGGGGAGTGTGAGAGGCAACCACACGTTGATGTTTCTTTCCCTCTCTTCTTTCTCCCTTCCCCTCTATCTAAAAATAAATAAATAAAATATTTTAAGAAATAAAATAAGTTAAAAAAACTGAATGAGTAGAGCAACAAATCTACATCAAATTTTTCATTAAGCTTGAACATTCATCCACAGAAACTACTTGGATGATTAAGAAGGCTACAGCTATGGGTGAATGGTGACTGGCAGCTTCACCATGACAGTGTACCCACACATGCATCACATCTCCTGAAGAGTTTCTGGAAAAATATCAAATCACCCAGGTGACTCAGTCCCGCTACAACTCAGATTTGGTGCCCCGTGACTTCTGGCTTTTCCCAAAACTAAAATCACCATTGAAAGGGAAGAGATTTTAGGCCCCTGATGAGATTCAGGAAAATACAATAGGGCAGCTGATGGCTATTGGGACAATTGCGTGAAGTCCCAAGGTGCCTATTTTGAAGAGGACTGAGGTATCACTGTCCTATGTACAATGTTTCTTGTATTTTGTACCTCCTTCAATAAATGTCTCTATTTTTCATAGTGCATGGCTGGATACTTTCTGGACAGGCCTTGATCAACTAACATATACAAGCTATTTTTGAAAAGTTTTAAACATTCTTGGGTGGGGATTGTGATAAAGAGGAAGTCACCAGAGAAGGGGCAGAGAAGTTAGCCAAAGAAGATAAAACTTTATTGGACTGGTGCTTTTTGTCTTCATTTTTAAAGGATTTTTAATTACTAGTTTAAATTAATATAGCTAATCAAGAAGACTGGCTTCACAAGATAATCCTAGAAACTTTTTGACCATTACTTCCACACTTCCATTCCTTATATCTTCTCACCTACCTTCTCCAGGGTTAACCAGTGCTATCAAGTTATTATTTATCTTTCATCTCTCTCTCTCTCTGCCCCTCCCTCTTTATGTGAGTGTGTATAATCATACACACATATACACACATACATAATTATTGGTGATTTTTAAAGTTTTTATTTCCTATATACCTTATTTTTAAAAAAAGAATATGCACTTGAGTAATTTTTAAAATATTTGTTTTTAATTTCATTATTTTAAATGTCCATCGTGTTTCCAGAAGCTATGTGACCTGGGATGAGATTCTGTTGCCTTGTCTAGGCCAGTTTCCTCATCATGAAATGGAGATTAAAGGCTCCGGCCTCACTGGGTTGTCGTTAGAAAGGAAGGAGACGATCCTGAAAAGTACCAAGCACTGTACACCTAAGCTCAATGAAGGGGACTTATTTTTTATTCATGTTTTGAATCTCTCACCAAGGAATGCTTTATTATTATTTTCTGGTTTTCTTTTTTCCCTTCATGTTTTAAATTTGATTGGCTGCTAAGAAGTAAGAAATAGAACAACCCAGGATCAGGAGCTTTAGGTTTAAGACCCACTATTTACCTTATATATTTTAACCACATAATAAAGGCAATGATTTCAAATTTAGGGTCATTTGTACATGCTGACTATTCATAACTTCTGCTCCTTCCTTCTATTAACATTCACATCATTTGGCTATTTTACTGTGAGAAAAAAGCAAAGCAAAAATGACAAAACTTCAGCTTTTCTCCTGAAAATACTCAGAAAGAATTTGGAAGAATGACTCTAAAGGTAATAGTTAAGACAAATATTTGGCTTGCGAGTTTTATCTATTCTCTACTAGAAAAGGCAATTCAGCGTATAGGCAACATGGATGCTTTGCCTTATAACACTGTCCTTAAGATCACATGTTAAGCCAGGTTGTAAGTGAAAGTGTTTTACCAAAGTCCTTTCAGGACTTCCTGTCATCAACAGTTTTGTGTAGGACCTAGGACAGACTCATATTTAATCCCGTTTTAGACAGGGTGGCACTATAGAGAGGTACTATTGTATTGAGCATTCCTAAAGCACTTCAAATTTTATGAAATTATATATCAATTTACACTAATTTTTTCCTACATAACACAATGTGCAGAAGTCATTACAGTCAAACCTTCAGTTCTCCACCAACTTATTCACAGACAACAACAATTCCTTGGTTGTCAACCGAGAACACTTCAGTTTTCAACCTGACAACCCATTCATGCCAATACCTATATAATCACAGTCACGTGTCTCTCAGGTGTGATTCAGTTTTTGAACAAATCACTTCTCAAACAGCCTTTTGGAACAAGTTAAGTCTAAGAACCGAGGTTGCACTGTATTCTTCAATTAAAGTTATGAAAAACCCGAAGCAGAGGAAACATAATTATTTTGTCTAGAACCATTGAGTTAGCAATGCAAAGAAGATTTAAGAAGCACCGAAGGCCTCCTGTATGTCAATTCTTCCCTAAGCGGCCAACACCCACTGCTGCTTCTTCGTATACAGCAGTCATTCCTTCTTTCCTCTGTTGCCAAAGCTTAATTTGGTTGCTTTTCTTCACAGATGCTGTGGCTTTCTTTTCAGACTCAGTTCATAAGACTAAATCTTAACAGTTTTCTACAATAAATTTTCCCTCCAAGGGAATGGCTATTCTGCACAAAGCTCATAGAGTAGTCAAGTTCAAATTAATAACTTTAAAATACCATATCCATAGTAATAATAGATCTAGGTTAGAATACACTAATAGGCAATAAAAGGAATGTGTGCAAGTTGTCTGTCACAGAGTGGGCAATTAATAAACGTCAGCTGAATGAATTAGTTCAGCCACAATGCCATACATAACTCTGCACTGATTTTCCAGTTTTTAATTGGCAGATAATGATACTACCTCCACATCAGAGAGTGAAGAAAAAGAGTTAATACACGGTGAAAAACATTTTGTAAATTTTGAATGCAGTGCACT